TTAGCTACCTTGCCATTGGTCGCCAGTGGTAAAGGTGTGCGGTGTATTAGATGAAACTTGCAAATCCTGTTTGGCAGTTAACTTGGTGGATTCCATCCTAAAGAGACTGCCTCCAGTGCTCAAAATTGAAGAGGAGCAAATGGCACATGGACGAGATGAAAGTGCAATACCTGTATAAAGTCTATGAGTCATTTTAATAAATAAATTACAGTTAGGTTTTTTACTCTGACCTTGTTATCTTACAACTGATGCATTAGCAAAAATCATTGAAATCGCGAAATTATACATTTTAATGGCATGTGGCCAATAGAAGCAGTGACACAAGTGGATATTATATCAGATATGTTGCATCTGATGTGAGGCAATATCATATTCAATCCCGTGAATGAGGCTGGAAGAATAAAGAACTGAGAGGAACAAATGTAATGAAAACTAGGATGTTGCACGAGTTTGGTCAATACCTGTATCTCATGTATTTCGATTGAATGTAAACCCCGTTTTCCAAGTAAACATCGTTTCATTGTGGCATCAAACATTTACATAGCACATTCCAGTACAACTTCTGATGTACAGACGTTTGTTGGTGTATTTATGTCCGAACTTTCTAACTACACGGAACACTCTCTTGTTATTGTTAGTGGTGATTTTAATCATGCAGATATTCATTTATTGACTTGTCTCTCTCTCTCTCCATAAGAGGAAACGCACAGTTGGACCTTGTTTGCGAAGAGGAGCCTCTCTAGCTAACTCCAACCATTATCATAAATGTTTTGCCAAAAGTCTACTGAAAGAAACATCACAGCACACTGACACGTACATCTAGCCGGAAGATTTTTCATAGGCTGTGCGACCCGGCCCACTTGGCACCACTGTGAGAAATGGTCTCTCGTACAAACTTTGATCAGTTCTTTGACCCGAGCGTCTCGGTCGAGTGTAAACACCTCACGAGCTATTTGAACTTTGACCTCTGCTACCCCATAGCCCCTGTGTACATCAGTCCCACCAGATTTTCTTCACCCACTTTGAAGACTCTCAGAAGAACCAAGGAACGGGCATATAAAAATCGTGATCAACCCTTAGTTAAACAAACGTCGGTGCTGATCAAGAATGAGATCCAAAATCTTGACAAACTCTACACCGAAACACTTCTTGGTGACCGTAATTGCAAGCAAACCTGGAGCGCTATGAAAAAGCTCTGTGGAACAAAAGTTAGACTATCCAATCAGTTGACCATCTTGATGTTTCATAAGTCAATTCTAATCAGGTGCGTGCACAGCTAAAGTGCCTAAACATATCAAAAGCTTCCGATCCCGACGGACTATGTCCGGTCGTCCTCAGGGAATGTGCGCATTATCTGGCGGAGCCAATTGCCGGTATTTTCAACCGCTGCTTCGAGGAACAAAAAATTGTCGACTGCTGGAGACCTGTGCGCATTACACTAGTCCCCCAAAAAAGAAGCTTGGAAACTACGACCAAAAGCCTAAACTTCTATTTTACTAAACATTTTCGAAAATTTTATGCCTAGTAACATTATTCCCAATACTGGGCAGCTAGATGACAATCAATTCGCTTATCGTAAACAAAGTTCTAATTACATGCTCTTGCGCATTTGGTAAACTCAGTTTTGTGATCCCTAGACATGCACCGCAGGGCATTTCATGTGTTTTCTCGACTATGGTAACGCTTTTAACTGTGTTGACAAGAGCAGGCTTTTGTCTTTACTCCAAGATGCTGAATTGTCCCATAATACCCTCTCTCCAATCCAAGATTATTTTTCTGGTAGAAAAAAATTTACAAAGTTTCTTGGAAAAACCTCTGACTCCCTACCGGTCAATTCAGAGGTGATCCAGGAAGCAATTCTGTCACCCTTTCTTTTCTTTCTATGTTTGTAACCTTTCCACTGACCCAGATGATCTTCTCATTAAGTATGCTGATGATGTCACAATAGTTTCCAAATTCCAAGGTAATTCTCGCCTCTCACACCTTCAAAACAGCCTATCTACCTGAAGCTTATGGTCTTCGTCTTTCACTTATCTCTCATTGCCTCTGCATGTAGGGACGTCACCTTCCCACTCAACAAAAGAGAACAACTATATTCTTTTGGAAGGAATTGTTCTGTACTCCATGTTGACAACCAGCCTGTCCCCTTAGTAAATTACCTACAATACCTCGGTGTCACTATCTGCCAAGATATCACCCGCACCTTAAATTTAAGTTCTACTTTTGTGAAGATTCGACGATTGCGTTTATTCTTTAGTTCAGGCTTGCGTTTTTTTGAAAGTTCCACTGTATTTACTCACCCGATTTGTATATTCTTTTGTTGCTACTCATCTTCTCTATTGCTCCCCAGTTTTTTTGCCGGTCTTAGAGTTAAAGATTACATAATTCTACGCCGGTCTATTAAAATTATTTCCACAAGCGGCATTCCTTATTTGCACTTGCTTAACTTTATCGCCGATAAACACTTTACCTCTTGCGATAACTTTTTCAACAATATTCCATTAGACAATAATCACCCATTACACACAGAACTTAAACTTCTGTAACTAGATGTCGTTATAAACTGGTGTATGGTCGAATCAATGCCTACCGTTTGTCCGTCATCCCCTATCTTTCGAGATTTCTGGCTCAAAATAAAAAAAGAAAACTTTTGAATTTGCTACACCATGGATATTCATTTTCAAACTTTTATTCCACATTCCCTTGAATTTACAATGTTGTTCATTTTTCACTTTTTCTTTGTGATTTTATGCGATGATAAATGTTCCCGGAGTACAAGGAGCTGAGGATCCACCCAATAGGACCAATAAAGCGATTTTTGACTTTTACTTGAAGTCAAGAGATACCCAATCAGCTGGCCTTGTGAGCCGGAGCTTTGTATGGCCTCTACCCAGTGCTCTTTTGGACAGGATTGGATCTACGGCTGTGAGGAGCTATCCTGTGTAGCGCGTAGAGACATGGAGGCACGAAAGCCATCACACCACGTCTAGATGCAGTCTCGACGTGATAGTCAGCTGGATGTGAAATATAATGTCTAATGTAACGCATACAAGGATGACGAAAAAACAATATGGGGAGTAGAATGACCCGCAACATGATACAAACCACCAACACTCGGTGGCATTTTTGCTAAAATTATCTGTTCATAAACCCCGAAGTAGCGAAGCGGCTGAAAATATTACTTACACTCTAGAGATCTGTTTCAAAAAAATAGTAGATCGTAGACAACCGTAGCTGAAGTTATCGAACCCAGGTTTCATCTTATTTCTTTTTACTCCATATATTAATTGATCTGCCTGTCTTTCTGCATTCCGTACTGAATTGTATTTCGTGTTTTTCTCAGCACAGTCTGATTGGAAACCAAGATCGGTGGATTACCATTAGATTTCTCCTCTGCGGAGTATATAAACTGTCAGGTGGAATTCCCTGCCTCCTTAAGAGTCTCTTGCAAATGACTGAAATGAACTAACAAGTCTGAGTGGATAGAGAGGAAAGGAGATGCTGTACACCGATATGAAAACAAACTCACATGTGAATTTCAGAGATTTCATGGTCTAGCTCTTGACCGAGCGCCACCGGTTAATCGGTGCAACAAGCCAGTCGTGGAGTGCTTTGTCGAAGATAAAACAGGCGCTGTCGTGGATTGATGAGTACTATTACTACTACCACAGCCACTGGCAGCACCACATATGCAATAATCGCTATGGCGTCCGTGAGATTTCCGTACAGCATTTGATCCATGCACAGGGCACGGATGGTTCCGGTGTGCGGATGGAGAAAGGGGAGGTACTGGGGGTGAAGAGGAGCATGGTGGCATGGAGTTCAAGCCCGGATTCGGAGGTGATCCAGACAACGCCGAGTGAAATGATGCTCCCATTTCCGAAGAGGCTGCTGTTTCACCAGCGTGATGTGTGGTGACTGCGTGTGTCGCATGGGTGTTCGAGTTCATGGACGGAAACATGCTCGCAGCGGCTCCCACATTTGCAATCACGCCAACATCGTCAGCGGCTCGGTTGATGTTCGTGTAATCTCGGCCAGTTCGACGAAGATCCTAGAAATAAACAAGGACATGCAACTTGACGTGAGAATTGGAAAAATGACAAGTACTGTTCTAGTAATACTGAAATTAACCGCTCGGGTAGGAGAACAAAACCACTTGAGATGAATATTCTTTCACTAGTATAGGGAGTTGCAATTTGATTTTAAAGAGGTGAAATTCGTACTGAATGACTAACTGTGATACAATTGCTTGTCGATTGTAGAAAGGATTTTCTCCGAAGGAGAGAAAACCGCACACTACACACTCCCATAGTTCGTGCGCTATTTTACTGTCCAGACCTGGTACGTAAGACGAACACCAACGATATAAAAACGCAGATTGCGAAAGTGCAACCAATCACCCAGGAAATAACGATAGCTGACGTCGGAGAGGCTGTGTGTGTGTGCGTACAGTGGTGGGGATGATTTTGCAGTCAAAAACCAAAGTGCGATAAACGTGATGGGAACCGGAGGAATATGCCAGAGAGGGTCAACTCACATTATCCATCTGAATCCGTTTGGACATGGTATTCACATACTGCTGAACCGCCTTGTAGATAAAACGGTACTGGGTCTCTGTTTGGACCATACCCGAGCGTTGTTCACGCACCGCTTGAATGGTGCGCGAGATGTCAATGTCACAATTCAGCCCCATTGTTTTGATATAATTGATTAGCATATCGATCACAATGAACGCCCCGGCACGGCCGATTCCGGCACTGCAATGAACAATTATCGGCCCGGCACCAGGAATGCTGTCCTGAGTGTGAAAACAGAGGAGACGTGATGTGAACAATAAGATATATATATATATATATATATATAACTAGGAAAGACAATCGAATAAAAGTGAACAACCTAAAGTGTACGAAGTGGAAGAAACGTGAAAATCGTTTGCTTGGAACATTTTGTCACTGAATAAGTAGTGTGGAACAGCGATGTCATAATTTTATCCTGTGAGACATCCGCGTGAGAATCAAAACAATTGAAAACTTCCAAGTGAAATATTTGCAATCAATAAAAATCACAAACTGTTCAGTGAAAAGGCTACTTCAGAATGGCACATTCCTTAACCCACTCGGATCGGTATGATTCCAAACTCGGAATATACAGATACATGACCGGCAGGTAAACAACCATGGTGCAAACGCGACAAAAACGACAATAGAAAGGGAGAACTCGGGATAAATGCAAGAAATGTGGAGAACGAAATTGGAGAGAAGCAGAAGTACGGGAACATACCGTAAATATTTTGCATGCGTCTTGTGTATGTTCTGGCACATTCTCTCCTAAGTAATACATTACATGGCTTGTGAAAACAGCTCAAAGAACGTGAATCGTTTACAAACGTATAAACGGCATTTTGATAGCCAAAGAGAAAGTTGTGAAGGTCCAACGGTATCCACTCCGTGACAAAAGTATTGCGCGCACACACACACACATACACACACACACACTAGATTCTCGGTGTACGTCAGCTCCCAAATATAAGAACGTAATCATTTTTGCGGATCTAGGCGGCACCTAAATGAAAAGCCGAAATACTTATTATTTATTATTATTATTTCATCATGCTTGTCCAATTTTATGCTAGAAATAATGAAGAGGGTATTAAGTGCTCTTCAAAATGTTCTGATCGAATGAGCAGATTGAGAAAAGCTTCACCATTTGGGGTACGCTAAAGACATTGTTTAACTGTTTGAGGACGCGCAAAAAGCTCTTGACAGACTGATTACGTCTGTAAATCCGTTTTCCACCTTCGCAGTGTAAAGTGATGCTGAGACTGGGTGTAGAGTAGTCATGTTTTAGAGTTAGAAGAATAGGAATAGGCTGAAATTGGTCGCTTCTCCATCTTGGACAGTTGTATGACAAACGAAAGTGGGCGTGGTAAAACATAGCCGCACGCAATTCCGAGGTTCGAGCAGCGCACGTAGAA